CATCGACGGCTCCTCTCTCCTCGATCAGCTTCTCCGCCGACGCTTTGAAGTACCCGATGGCAGTAACTGGGACCGAGTCCAGAAGCCTGGACACAATACAGAAACAAACTTAGAACTATCTAATAATTAAGATTTGTTTAAAGTCTATGTAAACATTGTAAGTTTCCCAAATCCTGATAGAAGTCAGTATTATTAACCAAATGTCATGGCTTGCAGTCTAAAGTTTCAAATAGTAATCAATTACAGAAGTTTTAAACTTCTATGAGTATACGGTTGCACTGGGCTCTCGCACTACAGAATGACTTACTTGACGGCATCCTTGCTTGATGACTTGATGATATCGTTGGCAGTAGGAACGCCGACTCTTTTGAATGTGATACCCTGGAATAATACAAAATAAAAAAGGTTGAGACTTAATCTAAAAACATCTGAAGCACAAATTGCATAGAATATCTGAATATCTTTGTCTATAAAATGCACAGTTTTCAAAAGCAGCATCCTCCTCAACGCTTGCTTCTCTAATAAAAAAACCTATCCCTTCTTTTCTATCTTCTCTACTTTTGATCCCCCCCTTTCTTCTATGTGACACGCCCATCCCCCAAAGATGTAATCGAACGCATTGTTTTTGAAACATTTCAGAACCACCAAAACCATTCACTCTCATGCCATTCTTGTCTTTTACTTTTTTTTTTTTAAAAGACACTTACTGCTTTGTTTTCCACGTAGCGCAGCTGGTCCTCCTCTTTCCTCTGGTAGAAACAGATGCAGACTCCGGTCATGCCCGCTCGGCCTGTACGTCCTGAACGGTGGATGTACGACTCCACATCCTAGCAACCACAGAGAGAGAAACACTTTCAGAACTGGTAAAGGAGGCAGCCGTTAATGATTCATATTTTAACACCATTACTAAGAAAGTGTGTTGTTAACATTAAGGCGGCAAGGGATTTTTTTGCATTGTTGGAGCAGCTCAGGTCAGAAGAATTTGATTGCCATTCCTACACTGTAACTGTTTGCATATGGCAATAAAACCTTTGAATCTTGAATCAACTTGCATGATAAAAACATTGAAAAAAAGTGAAAATCTGCACTTGGGAATGTTTTGATGTTTTTTAGAGTATCGATCAAAATCTGCACCCTAAAACATTGTAGCTTTTGTGTTCAGTTCAAATGATTAATTAAAAACAACATTGTAAATAACGTCCCCAGTAAAACAAAAAATGTGTTATATGCTGTGAAACTCTTGTAAATATCACACCTTGGGTGGAGAACACTGGATCACCAGGTCGATTTCAGGGATGTCCAATCCACGGGCTGCAACATTGGTAGCAACCAGAACCTCGAAAACGCCATTTCTGAACCCCTTCAGCGTGATCTCCCTCTGTTTCTGAGGAATATCCCCGTGGAGGGCCTGGCAACTCTGATCACAAAATAAAATAAGAAATGAAGCATTACACATTTGCTTGCTTATTCATAGTGGTATTGCTGAATTGACACAAAAATAGACTCAAAAATATAAGTAGTAAGGTGATAAACAGTAGGCAGATAAACTGGTAAACAAATTAATGAAAAGTGTTTTGAATGAATTTGACTTTCCAAAAACTGTTCTGTGGCCCGTATAAGCATTTCAGTGCCTGTGTCTACCTGTTTGATGGATGTATCTAAGGAGTATTCGTTGGCATCTTTCTTTGTCTCACAGAACAATATGGTTTTGCCATGGGTGCCGCTGTAAACCTGGATCACATCACCGATCACGGCTGCTCGCTGAGACCAGTGGCACGCTATGGCCAGATGCTACAGAGGAAAGGACACGGGAAGAAAAAAGGAGTGAAAGATGGGAGTAAGAAGAGATACATATAAATCATATTTGTTGAGTTGATAAGAAATACAGCAATCTTATCTGCAAATTAACTTTCATGGATAAAAAGATAATTAACAGTTTTAATTAATATGACCATCTCTGCTTACAAGCATCTTTACAAGGACTGAGCCTAAGAATTAAGGATGCTTTACCGCTTGTTATATTGCACCTCAGCCAGCTTCACACACTTACCTCTACAGTTGTGGCGGCTTTCTGTGTGCTCTTGCCGATCAGATCCACATGTTTGCATTCTGGTCTCATGTATTTCTTGGCAACCTGGTATACCCAGGCGGGGCAGGTGGCCGAAAAGAGAAGAGTCTGGGGGTTGGAGGGGGAGTCTGGAGAGGAGCACACACACAGGTTTTTACTAACTTTACATACATGACCGCACTTTAATGAATTTGTTATCTACTTTAACATATGATACACAAATCCAAATTGTAACACTCCTTATACACAAGGGCTGAATAATGAATAAGGCTTTTAATAGAAATTAGAGTATAAACGAGTGTAAAAACCAAATTGCAGGAGGCAAGTTATCTTATAAAGATTTGAAAAATCTAAATGTTGTAACTAAATGTCTCAGGGGCCTATACACATACATGAATATTAACACTCATTGCAAAACATTCACAGATTTCCTTTACCTTTCTCATATGAAGAAGACAAAATTTCTTCAACCTGTTCAGTAAAACCCATGTCCAACATCTGGTCCACTTCATCGAGAACAACGTGTTTCAGTTTGGAGAGGTCCAGTTTTTGGTTCTGGAGATGGTCTTTGATGCGACCAGGGGTGCCAATCAAAATATCGATACCATTACGTATTGCTTCAACTAGACGGGAAGAGAGTAGAGGAGAAATTATTATTTTGATATGTGACAACTAGTGCTGTGTACCTGGACTCACATTCAGGTTCAGGTCCGGACTCAAGTCCAGAGGTTCAGGTTCTTGTGTCAAGTTGTGTGAGTAACTAAAGTGAACTTATTGTGAGCTAATTATCAATTGAAAATAAACTCATAATCAACTCAAATTCAAACTCGTCAGGTTTATTGTGCCCCCTTCCAACTTGTGTCTACACCATGTCTTTTCTAGAACTCTACATGTGTTACTAACTACACAACACAACTACATACATAGTGATGTACATACAAGACTCAATATGCAAGAGTACAAGTCTATATGTTCTTGTTCAAGAACAACAGCATATTGACATTGTCTGGGTGAAGTGTTGCTCTTTCGGCAGACGCTATATCACCATACATACAAAGGAGTTAGCTTAGCTACACTACCAAATATGGCAACCAGCATCCCACGCTGTCAGTGTCCACTATGTCTAAGCCAGCTTCCCTTGACGTCACACAGATCTCGCGAGCAGTTGCGATATTTTGCGAGACTTCGTGAGCTCAGTAATGGC